GACTTCTCTGTGTGTGGCAGTCCTTCAGTCCCAGGCCCAGAAGAATTCACATGCCCTTCCCCACCCCCACCTCCTACTCCCCACCTCATCGTTGTGAAGAGCCCATCTTGCCATGGTCAAGTTCGAGACCTTTCTGTCCACACATGATTGTCACAGCCTCTTAACTGGTGGCTGCCCCACCTGCCCCACCTCCATCCATTCTGTACCTTCTGCCGGAGGGATTCTCTCTTCATTCTGTCACTCCCCCGCACCTCCCCCAGGAGCCTGAACTCCCTGACTGTGCAGCCACACCACCAGTAGAAATACAGCATGAGCCACACATGCAATCTTAAATTTTCTAACAGCACATTAAATAAGCAAAAAAATGGGTGAAATTAAGATTGTTTTCTCTCTATAACCAAAATATTGTTTCAACATATACGTAGTATGAAATTATGAATGAGATTGCTTCCATACTTTTTCATATCTTTAGACTCCAGTGTATATTTTACACAGAAAGCACATCTTACTTCAGGCACATTTCAAGTACCCAGGGCTGTGCGATTGGATGGCCTAGGGCTTCAGGGTCACAGCCCAAAGTCCCCTTAGCCTGAGACTTTGCTGTCCTGAACCCCAGCTCACAATTCCAGGCCTAATTCCCTGCCTCCTCTTAGGCGCTCCATCCAGAACAGGTGCTGTGCACATCCCCCACATCCCCTGTCTGCTCAGACGGCTCTGTCTTGAGCTGCTCTCCAGCACAGCCCTTCCCACCCCAGCGCTGCTCAGGAGCTCCTCAGAGGGGCCAGGGTTCTGCTGAGGTAGTTTTATCACTGTGCTCATCCAGCTCAGGGCGCCATTAATGGTACTGGGTATTCAAGCCTAACGGGGTCATCCCGTTATTTAACGAGGAGCACTGAGATTCTTTACTTTTTTACTAGACATATTAGACATATTCAGCAACAGAAATATACCTTTATGGTGTAGAAACTGGGCTTTGTTCTTTATATTTATTGAATAAAATGTTCCAGGTATTTGTTTCTTAATTAGAAAGACAAGAGTGAAATGCTTTCTTTTCTCTTCCTTTTTTGTTAAACCCAAACCAAATAATAACCAGAGTCGTTTAAATTCCGTGAATCTCTCCTAGCTGCCCTGGAGTTGTGCCTCCTGCCCTGGCTCAGGGTCCGAGGCAAGCCTGTGTCCTGTTGCTGAGAACCGATGTGAGCGGGCCTGGCCTCGGTCCGTGTTTGTCGAGGTGTAGGACGGGGCAGCGCCCCTGGCCCAGTCTTCCCTCTGCTCTGGCTCCCTTCTTTCAGTGTGATGGCCATTGCTGGGTTTGCTCCCGCCTCAGCACCTCGCAGCTGTGGTTCCCTCTGTGCTCGCCACATGCTCTCGGCCTACCTCTGTGTGCTTTCAGCCTTAGCCCGCCCTCGCCGCTGGAGGAGTCTTGCTAGGCCCTCCTGCCTGAGATGGAAGGTGCTCCAGCCTCCTCCCCATCAGCACTGGGTCTCCTCCCTCTGGTTTGTTTTTCTCCGCAGCTCTCGTCACCCTCAGATCTTGCAGGTTTTACTGTCCTCTCCTCCCACTTGGACATGAATGCCTGTCTGTTTTAATCAGAGCTATTTCAGCACCTGGCATGAATGCATTGATAAAGAATGAAGGAATGATGAGCAAGCGTGCGGGTGAGTGAGTGGGGCTGCCGGCAGGTTTCTTGGCTCTCCGAACCTCTGTTTCCTGGTAGTAATGCAGTGATCATATTGACCTTCCTATGGGGAAGCGGGTGCTTTTACATTGCTGATGAGAATACAGTGTTCTGTCCTCTGTGGGAGGTTATTTGGCAATGTCTATAAAAATTATAGATGTATATACGTTTCGACCCAGCTATGTTATTGGGAATTCATCCTGTGGATGTTCTCATACACACGAAAACTGCTATGTGTGCAAGGTCATTCGTTGCCATGTAAATGTCCATCAGTGGGGACTTTGAATACTCTGCACTTTAGAAATGAACGGGGAGGCCGTCTTGGTACCAGCACAGACACCTGAGTGGAGCAGGAGGGCGCCCAGTGCCTCGTGTGCTCTCTGATGTGAAGAAAGGAGGGTGGGTGGATTTGGATCCACATCTGCCTTGTGCATGGATGGAGACACTGTGGAGAGAGAAACAGGAAGCTGAATGCCAGTGACCTAGGGACAGGTGACCTGCAACAGAGGACAGGGATTTGAATGCACTCTCTACTGCATACTTTTATGTGAATTATTAATAGATTGCCTATTCAGACAAAACAAAAGCTGGCCTTATAGGGTCCTATTGAGGTTAAGAAACATGTGTGCAGGGATCCCTGGGTGGCGCAGTGGTTTAGCACCTGCCTTTGGCCCAGGGCGCAATCCTGGAGATCCGGGATCGAATCCCACGTCGGGCTCCCGGTGCATGGAGCCTGCTTCTCCCTCTGCCTGTGTCTCTGCTTCTCTCTCACTGTGTGCCTATCATAAATAAATTAAAAAAAAAATTAAAGAAACATGTGTGCAGAGTGCCTTACCCAGTGCCTGGCACACGGAGTAGAGCCTCTGATGGGAAGTGAGCACTGCCTTCCCAGTATGTGTGCCTCATGCCTCAGACCTGGGGGAGACCTGGGTACCACCACTCGAGGCAGATGCTTTCCCCACATCAGAGAGCACGACCTGTCAGGAAAGGCCCCTTCCATGTCAGAGCCGGGTCCAGGGGCCTGTGCTTGTTTGGGTTTGCGGTCGCCTACACAGCCAGACCCGGTGCCCAGATGCCACAGTGTGACTGCTGCATGCTTGGTTGCCGGGCTGGGGGCCCAGAAGGGGATGCTTGTGCTTGTCCATAAGTTACTTCCATGTATCTACTTACGGTCGTCTCGAGGCACCTTTTAATAGGGAATGAAGTCTCTTAGTGTGTTTTGTGATCCCAGTAATATTTATGGTAACAGCAGTGCTGTAATTCTTTGTCTTCATGCCTCACAGCTGCAGAGCGATACTACATTTACTTGACAGTATTACAATTTTGAGTTCTAATGGAATTATTTTTGTCGTGTCTCTAAGCCAAAAAATAAATTTTTCTCCTAAGCGTAGTGCTGAAAGTTTTTATGTTTGTCCTTAAAAATTTCCACAGGGTAGAGTGGCAGTAGTGTTTTGTTGGTAAGACCGCCATCTGTGTGGTTGTGGTGACATGTAAAGGTGCAGGAGCCAAGAGCCACGGTGCTGGGGGAAGGATGGCAGCCTGGCGGCCAGTCCAAGTTAGCGCTAGAGCCACCTGACAAGGCTGCCCCGCATGGGGGTGAGCCATGGTGGCCTGAGGCCTGCAGGGGCAGCAAGGTCTGAGGGATGGGGGTGGGCTCCCCCAAGATGAAACCTCCAACCTGGCCTTGCAAGTTACCTCTGTAACCTCTTTAGGAAGACGCAGTGAAGGCCTCATGCCAGAGTGGTCGCTGGGCTTTCAGGTTGTTGGCATTGGTGTAGGTCAGATGCCTTTTAGAGGTAGGAAGGGAAGGAGGCAGAGGGTGAAAATGGTTGTGTTCCCAAGGCCAGCTCGTGTTTCTCTCTTCGGAGGGCCAGCGGTGCTGCCCTGTGGCTCCCACACTGGGGGGTCAAGAAGCAGTGTCGCCTGCTGAGTGACCTCTGTCGTGCCCACCCCTCCCCCACACCCTGGGCCCTGAGTGCTGTGTGGGGCTGGCCTCCTTTCTCTTCCCCAGCCCCGGGCCTAGTATTCTGCAACAGCCTGCACAGTTCATTCATCGCTTCTCTGAAAAAAAAAAAAAAAAAACACAAGTGATTTCATGTTCTTTTCATGTGGTTTTCTGTAAAGTTGTAGCACACGCAGCATATGTGTGCAAAGCCTACCGTGGGGCAGGGAGGTTCACATCCGTGCCCCAGGGCCCTCTGAGGCTCCGGCCAGGAATCCCAACCAGTTAGGGGAAGTGGGAGTGTTTAACGCACCCGGAGCCTGCCGGGCTCCTGAGGCACCCGGCTCCTGGGGAGATGGCCGTGGAGAACATTTGGTAGGAGGAGTTTGTAAAAACTTGGGAGTCTTGGGAACTTCTGGATAGTTTCTGGTGATGTGATTTGGAAGGTGGAGAGGGGCACCCATGTGGAAGCTGCTGTGCCAGCAAGCCCCACGGCAAGGTCCGCAAGCAGGGAAGCACACTTCTGCCTTTGGGTGGTTTTTACTTTGGCCTTTTGTTCTTTGGGTTTCAAAGGCAGCACTCCTGATCTGTGCGAGTTGAAGGAACAGCTGGTCAGTGGACCAGAAATTAGCATTGAGTGGAGCGGCAGTGATTAGGCACATACTCCTGAATTAATCTCTGTTTATTTCTTTAAACACCACCTTGTTCCAAAGAAGATTTGGAGGAATTGCTTATAAAGATGCACACAGGACAGCAAATCTGAGTGAGGAAGTTTCAGTGAAGCCAGAGCTGAGGTAGAGCCCAGCGAGTGAGCGTTGAAGTCCTGTGTGCTGCTGCCAGTGGCTGCACGTTGCCTCCCCCCGACCCAGGAGCAGCCCAAGCAGAGGGGCAGGTGTAGTCGGCACATGACTTACATGACGATAAAATGCAGAGAAACTGGGAGGCATAGCTCTCCCGGCTGTGAGGACTGCGAGATTTCCCCCGGGGGTCTTCGTAGAGAGGATGCTGTGTGTAGGTACGGTGAATCACAGATTCAGATGCTCCTAGCGTAAGAAGTGAAAGTTGCCCAAGGGCTGGCCCTCTCACCAGTGTGTCCCAGCGCCTGGTACAGTGTCTGGCACGTGGTAGGCTCTCAACAGTGTTGGTTGAATGACTGACTCCCTCAGCGAAAGCCAGTGACCTAACACCCAAGTGCAATTCTAGAAATAATTCTACAAGGGGCCCAAATGCTCTTCGATGGTTTGGCTGACCACGGGATAGAGTGTGCAGTGCCCGGATGGACTCTTCCCTTCTCACCGAGAAGCAGACAAGTTTCTTGCTGGAAAAGTAGACCTTTAAAGCTTCTCCATTGTGATAACTTGTTCTCCTTTGTCTTCACAGAGACTAATAGACAAGTCACGCGTAACCTGTGTCAAATGGGTTCCCGGTTCGGAAAGCCTTTTCCTAGTAGCCCATGCGAGTGGGAACATGTACTTGTATAATGTGGAGCACACTTGTGGCACCACAGCCCCCCACTACCAGCTTCTGAAGCAGGGTGAGAGCTTTGCCGTACACACTTGCAAGAGCAAATCCACGAGGAACCCTCTCCTTAAGTGGACGGTGGGCGAGGGGGCCCTCAACGAGTTTGCTTTCTCCCCAGATGGCAAGTTCTTGGCATGCGTGAGCCAGGATGGGTTTCTGCGTGTGTTCAACTTTGACTCAGTGGAGTTGCACGGTACGATGAAGAGCTACTTCGGAGGCTTGTTGTGTGTGTGCTGGAGCCCAGATGGCAAGTACATCGTGACGGGCGGCGAGGACGACCTGGTGACGGTCTGGTCTTTTGTGGACTGCCGAGTGATAGCTCGAGGCCACGGGCACAAATCCTGGGTCAGCGTCGTGGCATTCGACCCCTATACCACGAGCGTGGAAGAGAGCGACCCAATGGAGTTTAGTGGCAGCGACGAGGACTTCCAGGACCTTCTTCATTTTGGCCGAGACCGGGCGAACAGCACGCAGTCCCGGCTATCCAAACGGAACTCTGCCGAGAGCCGCCCCGTCAGCGTTACATACCGGTTTGGCTCCGTGGGCCAGGACACACAGCTCTGCCTCTGGGACCTCACGGAAGACATCCTTTTCCCTCACCAGCCCCTTTCAAGAGCAAGGACACACACCAATGTCATGAATGCCACGAGCCCGCCCGCCGGTAGCACCGGGAACAGCGTCACGACACCAGGCAACTCCGCACCCCCGCCCCTGCCCCGCTCCAACAGCCTCCCACACTCCACCGTCTCCAGCGCCGGCAGCAAGAGCAGCGTCGCTGACGGGGCCGTCGCTTCTGGGGTCAGCAAATTTGCGACGCTCTCCCTGCACGACCGGAAGGACAGGCACCACGAGAAGGACCACAAGCGAAACCACAGCATGGGACACATTTCCAGCAAGAGCAGTGACAAACTGAACCTGGTTACTAAAACCAAAACGGACCCAGCAAAGACTCTGGGGACGCCCCTGTGTCCTCGGATGGAAGACGTCCCCTTGTTAGAGCCGCTCATCTGTAAAAAGATAGCACACGAAAGACTGACTGTGTTAATTTTTCTTGAAGACTGTATAGTCACTGCTTGTCAGGAGGGATTTATTTGCACATGGGGAAGGCCTGGTAAAGTGGTAAGTTTTAACCCTTAATGCTGCACCAGATCTAGAACTTGAATAGGTAGTGATTTTTTTTCTTGTGGGAGGGGCGGGGTGTACAATGAATGTGAATGGCACTTCTTACTCTTAATGTAAATCTAAATGCATCAGAGCCATAATTTTGGATACTGCATGCCATGTAATTCTGAATCATTTGATAATTCAACTTAGAACGTTTAAAAAAATATAATCAAACTAATTGCCAGCCAAGTCAGTCACCCTCCTGGGAGTATATAGAGTCCCAAGGTTAGCGCTCCTGTATTAGACTATTTCGACTTTAGGAAAATCATGACAGTGTGGGAAAACAATGACTTTAAAATGCTAAAATTAAAATCTCTGCTTTAACTGGAATATTTTTGCTTAACTACTCAATTAGGATGTTGTACACCTGATCAGAGCGTGTTCAGTGCAGACGGCCATTAACTGTCATTTATAGTCCGGTTTTTATCTTAATCATAAAATGTTTAGGAATCTATGAAATTTAACTTTAGGAACAAAGCATTCAGCAGGGTTGATTGATATTATTTTTACATTGTTCTGGCAATCCACAGAAAGAGAAGAGCCTTAATTTTTAAAACCCATTTTAGTCATTTTATGACAATTAAAATTGTTTAATAAACATCTTTTTTCAAAGAAGCAGTTTGTAGCACTTTGATTGAGATTCTGTGCACTGAATAAACACCCACATTCCTCGGAGCCTGGACAGCTCCCGGAGCCGCGGCCGAACCGCCAGCAGCGCTTGTCAGAAGTGCCTCTTGCCACATAAGCCAAGACCTTTTGTGTTGGATGCGCTTCGCTTATGTTTTTTTTTTCCAACAAGGGAAAGGAGGTTTTGGTTTCTTTGGTGGTTTTCTGTGGGGTTTTTTGTTGTTGCTGTTGTTGTTGTTGTTGTTGCTGTTGTTGTTGCTGTTTTTGGTCAGGAAGGCCCAGGACAGAGGCCTTGTTTTGTAAAGACTGACAGGCTCCCCGAGGGTCAACATGCTTCCCGAGGTTGCCCTGGTTTGGGTTTTGTTTTCCTGCCCAGACTTCTCATCCCGGGGTGGCTGCCGTGATCCCGCTCGGGCTCCGTCCTTGGTGGCTTCCACCCGGCGTGTCTCACTGCTGGCCTCTCGGCCGCCTGCGTGAGCTCCCGTAACTGGGAGCTGCTTCCGTGGGGCCTGCACAGTTCTGATGCCTGTGGTCCTTATCGGCTGTGTGAGGAATTTCAAATTCCAGTTTCACGTCGGGGGGAGATGGTTCTTTGAGCTACGTGTTTCCTGTCAAGATGATGGTTAGTTACCTTGTTAACTTATTTTGGTCATCTCAGTTTGTTTACTGTTTTGCACGCCTTTATAATTAAACGTAGAGATGCTGATTGTTTACACTTGTTTGAGTAGTGGATGCAATTCAGCCAAGTGGGCTCCTGGAGACATTCGCTTCTCTGCAGTGTTCAGCTGTGGTGACGGAGCAGTAGCTCTGTGTGCTCTAATGCAGCCCTCCCGGAAGGCCAGCCCCCACTTCCCTGGGCCTGCTCATGCCACCCCTCCACCCCACCCAGCCCCCGCCCAATCCGTCCGCCCTGCCCATCCTGCTCCTGAAATGGGAGGGGTTTCTGTTGGACGGCAGTGTTCCAGCACGGGAGAAGTGAGGAGGCCTTCCCGGTGCATCCCACCCCACCCGGCCCCCCGTTAATGCATGATGTCCACAGGTATATGTGTTAATGTCCTGTTTACTCTTAAGATACGGTCCTTTGTTCCTAAATGTTAAGTGACCTAAGGTAGCAAAGACAGCGTCCTTGTGGACTGTTTCAACTTTGGAGGCTAAATTGGGATGTCAGACGGAGACAATCGGAGCCAACACTCCAGGTGCAATTTTATGTACCCACATGGTTCTAGAAATTTCATTTCAAATGCTTCTGAGGCATTGAGTATGCAGTTTCAAAATTCAGGACTTTGCATTTGGCCCAGGCAATGAATGGCTGATCCCAGGTAAGTAGCCTTTATGGGGACGCTTATTGTGACCTTTCGGTTCTGAGTGCCTTGCTCACTGGCTGCCGCTGCCTGCGCTGCCGGCAGGAATGTGTGATGTGCGCGCTTTCTGTGGACCAGGCGCTTCCTGATCCCACACACCCCTTGGCACGCTCAGCTGCGCAGGCTGCGATGAAGGAGAGGGGTGGCTCGGGGGCACCGGGGGTGACTGGTATACCTAGGAGGAGTCTGTTGGTGGGGTTGGGTGTGGGAGAGGCAAGAGATGATTGTTCCCGTAAAGTCAGGCTCTGAAACGTGCTAACAGAAGCCAGGGGTGTCTCTCTCCTGTCCCCCACCTCCACTCCGTTTTAAAAACTGTGGTCACATCACAGTTTGGGATTTGGAGCTTGGTCACAATCTTGTTCTTCCAGTTTCTGCTGGTGAGTGTATCCTTGAAGTCTGTCCCCATCCCCTCTCTGGGCCCCCGTTGCTGGGTGTCAGGTGCTGGGGAGGGGCTGCATGGCCGGCCCTTCTGACACCCACCCCCTTTCTTCGACAGCCAGCAGAGCACTTTTCCTGCAGTCAGGAGGACAGAATGCGAGGTGTTCTCCGAGACCAGGACTAAAGCTGCCCAAAGCTGCCCGCAGCTTGAGAAGAGGGCGCTGGAGGGGCAGGCCTGGCTTCTGTCAGTGGCTCCTGCAGCCCTGGGACGCAGGGAGGGGGCCCCCGGGGGACCGGGTCTCAGGTGCGGAAGGCCCAGGGCCACAAGGACACATCTGGGGAGCGCTTTTGCAGTTTGCTCACCAAGCTTTGAGCTTCCTCATTTGATAACTGTTCAGTGTTGTCGCTTAAACATTATCCGGAGCAAGGATATCTTTTCTGACCTCACCTCTGGAGTGAAATCCCTATGGGCAAAAGGCGGACCATGCTTGGCGGGCACAGCCTGTCTGCCGGGCGCTGAAGAAAAGCGCAGAGTGGCCCTCGAAGCCTGCTCCCCCCAGCCTGCGTGCAGGGACCGGAGCCCTCAGAGGGTCCATCCCGCCTGCCCTGCCCTGCTGTGGCTTTGGGGGGCGGGCTTCTAAGCCCACTGGCAACTCCAGCCCTCATCTTAGATTCTCCTCTTCCTCGGGGGCAGGAGGTTAAAATCCCAGAGAAGGAACCTTGCCTTTGGAAAACTGCCACCTTTTAAAAGCAAACGTGTAAGGGGGAGCAGGCCAATTCTTTAATAACTTTGGGTTCTAAATTCACTTAAATAGTGATAAAGAGTCTTAATTTTGTCTTTTGTGCTGATCCAAACTTCTAGCATTTTTGAAGTATCCTGTGAGCCGTTGCCTTGGGACTGAGGACAAACACCTAGGATAGGACAGGGCAGGAGTGGGAACCACGTAAGCGGTCACCGTGATTACTGCCCAGCCATTCAGAAGCCACGAGGAACAAAACACCACGTGACTTGACCTGCCTTTATGGGCATGCACATGCGTCCCAGGGGGACTCAGGCTTCGCTGTTGGGCTTAACACCCGAGTCCTAGCTGGCAAGTTCCCTCACTCCTTCCACGTCCTGTGGTGCAGCTTGCGTTATTAAGACATTGTCAAGTGCTGAGTTTGAGCAGAGATTGGTGAAGCTGCTTTATCAGATGCCTTCACCTGCATCCAGGGTTCACACCTCCGGCCTTGGCAGGGAGGCTTTTGGGTTTTTTGTTGGGGAAGCTCAAAGTGTGAGGGGAAAAGCCACAGGGACAGGGAGGGCTGGAGAAGGAATCCTTTGGGAAACCCAGATGCTGCGTTTGTGTATCTGACTGTCCGAGGAAGACTTAGAAGCAGAGTCCAAATGGCTTTCCCGGGACAGCTGCATGGAGCTCGGCGTCCCTTCTGCACCCACGGCTCGGCCGAGGCCAACCAGTCCGTGGCTTCTGAGTGACTTTCCTGTTGTGCTGGTGTGTCCGCTGTCGGGGTTTCCTTCTGCAGCGGGGAGCCTCTGCACATGTGTTGTGGGCCTGACACCTAACCTGGCGGTGTCAGCCATGCTGGGGACTGTCATCTGTCCTGGTCATCATTGGCCCCAGGGATGGCCCGTGAGCGTAGACGGCAGCCTGGAGAGTGGAGGCCAGGACCGTGCGTGTCTCGCATTGAAAAGCATTTGTGTTCAGAGCCCAAGTTCAAAGCCGTGTGAAAATGCCCGCCCCCCAGTGTTGACCGATGCATTGCTGCACCTGTTACATGAACTTCGTGTTGTGCTCACACTGCTGCCTCTCAAAGTGTAAAAGGAAGAATTTCCTGCATTTTTAAATTTCTGTATACCTAAGTTTATTAAAGACTGCTATGTTAGGTGACGTTGTATAAAATTGTATGATTATTTATCTTTAATGAAAACCAAAAGTAAAATCCGCATTTCCTTTTTTTTACATTTTCATCTAATTTCTTGATGAATAAATTTGATAGTCTTCCTACCATGAAATGTTGATTAAGTTCTTAACTGTTAAAATAATTAGTGAAGCTTTCGTATCAGTATTGTTAATTTATCGTTTTAAGAAAATCACGTTTCTGTTTCACTGTCTTGGTTTTCTGGCTGCTCTCTCGTCACTCTCCCAGCTCGAGACTCCCGCACACGCGGGTCCGAGGTGCCGGGGGGGGGGGGGGGCGCGGAGCGTGGGGGGGGGCAGCCCTGTGTTCGCGGACGGGAAACGAACAGGAGCGAAGGAGGAGAATGTACTAAAGGAAATGTTCGCCGTGTCGGAGGTACTGGCGTGGCGAGCGGCCCGGCTCGGGCCTGTCCCGGCTGCCCGCGGCCTCCGGGGCGTGGAGGCGGGAGGAGCGCTCTCCCGGGGCGGCGGGGCGGCCTAGGACGCCAGGCCCTGAGGCCCCGCTGCGGAGGGGGCGGTGGGGAAGGCGCCCAGACGTCTTGTCCAGCACCCGGACGTCCTGGCCCCCCAACACCTCGAGGCCAGGACCCCAGCCTAGATGTGCAAGTTCCCCAGAGGCTGAGAGAGGTGAACGTAGGACTGCGCCCCGGGTCAGGGCCTAGGCTCCCTCCGGGCCTGGACCCCGTGCCTCCCTGACCCTGCTGACCCCTTGCTGGCCCCCTGCTGAGCCCCGGCTGACCCCCGACTCCCTGCTGAGCCCCCCCCCCCCCGCTGAGCCCCCGGACTCCAGGGCCGCCAGGTGCACTTGGCGTCTGACGCTGAGCTGCCCTGAGCAGGGAGCGCGGCGCTGGTGGCCGCCTCCGACCTGGGAGCAGGACGTGTGTCTCCCCAGCATGGAGCAGATTTCAGGTTTAAAAGGACTCACGCGGCATTTTGATCTTTTAAAAATAGTTTGTGCCTTGAAAAAATGCGCTAGGTCCCTCCTTCCGTGCGGGGCTGCCTGTTGAAGGAAACCGTCGATTCTGGACCCGTGAGTCTCCTGCAAGGGACAGAGCCTGTCGGGGCGCTCGGCCCCGCCCCCTCCTCTAGTGTTGGGGCCTCCAAACCAGCCTGTCGCTTTGGGGGAGCGCCGGCCTGGGAGGGACCCTCTGGACGCGACTCCAGCCCGAGCGCCTTGGTCTCCCGGCACCGGCCCCAGAGCCTCTCGTGCCGAGAAAGCCTCGCTCCCCGATGTCTGCAAAGAGCATCGTCTTCCCCAGGTGACTCTTCTCTTTAGAGACCAGGCTGAGTGGCCTCTCGGGGGGAGTGTGGCACCTTCGGCGTGACCCGTCGTGGGGCATCAGGTCTGCCGCCCAGCTGGGGGCGGGGGGCAGGCAGGGGCCCCTTCTTCCCCTCCTCCGGCTCGCGTGCCCTGGGGTCCCTGCCACGCGGGGCAGCCGCCGGGGCCGAGGGCCTGGGGAAAGGCATCCCCGGCGGGACCGCGGAAGGGACCTCACTTCACAGATACCTGCCGCTCGGCCTCTGCGTGACTAAGCTGGGGTAGCCCCTCACTTAATTTTCGGAGGAAACCTCTCGCAGGACTAGGACGGCAAGTCCGGTGAGCGCGGGCGGCTCGCTCCGTAGTAGACTCAGGACCTGTCCCCGCTCCGGTACCGGCAGCCACGGCGGGTTCCCGAGGACAGCTGCGCTCGGGGAGGCGGCGGGTCCGCGGGCCGGGCGGGGCAGGCTCTTCGCTCAGGCCCCCCCCCCCCCCCGCCCCGCCACCGCCCCCAGGAGTGACCACGGGGCCGCCGTGCAGCTTCCTGGCGGGACCGTGATGGGGCCCGCGGGTGGCCCATCTTTCCCTTTGTCCCCAGGGAACCTGTAGACCGAAGTGCAGCTGGTAGAAATCAGGGGACCTGGACGTCTCTGAAGGGCAGTGTCCCCCGACGCCTCCGCTGTCCCTGTCGGGAAGCGAGCAGGTGCGTCCCGCCCCACCTGTGGCCCCCGGCGCCGCCTACCTGCGGGGCTCCGGGCCGGCAGGCTGGGTGGGGGCGGTTGCTGGCCTCGGGGACCCTGGGCGTCACACGGACAGGACGGGACAGGACGGCAGCAGGGAGGTGGTTCTCACGGGGCGGAGGCTTCGGGCCTGCGGCTTTATAGGGGTGAGCGGGCTCCCGAGAGCCAGGCGGGGAGGGCGCGGGGCGGGGTCGCTGCAAGCCCGCGGGCGCCACCTTGTCCCAACTGGGGACACAACACATGCCACTGAGAGGCCTTACCTGTCGAGGCGATAATATGGGATATACGGGGTTAAATATATTGGAATCTCATTTCTCTTCAGTGTTCCACGTGCTGCTAGAATTTTAACGTCACGTGAGGCCTGCCTTGTCCCGTGGGCAAGGGTGACAGAACTGCGGGCGCCCGGTCCCCGCTGGCCCACCGCTCCCGTTAGGGACAAGGCCCACTCTCGCGGGGAGGAAGGGACCCCTCGTCCTGTAGGCGCCGCCCCGGTCCCCGACAGCCCATGGCTCCGGGGAACCGCCTCCTGTGATCCGAACCCCCTGGAAGCTTGGGGACTGGGAGGCAGAGCATCCTCGGGAAGGGGCTCGGGCCGTGCCCCCCCGCCCCCCGGGAAGTCAGCGTCCCAGGGCAGGGCTCCCGGAGGTCCGCGCGGGTCGGCGTCTCTCCCGCGCTCCCGGCCCCGATCGCGTCCCGCTGAGCACACGGCCTTGTAAGAAACGGGGCAGAAACGGGGTAGAGTGGCGTGGAGTGGCGGCGGGACAAGGAGTTTCCCGCCCCCGGGCGTGGGCAGAGCTGAAGGCCGGTGTCACGGGCCACCCCTCCGTGTGCGTCCACGGTCCGCTCGTCCTGTGTCACCAGCTAACCTAACCCGCTGAAGCAGGTTTTAGGACAGCTTAAGTCTGTGTTCGCGGAACTGAAAACTTGTGGCTTCAATGTCACTCCACGGTGACCTTAAAATGCTTAATAAACGCCAAATGGTGATGTAATTACGTGTGTGCATCCCAGTGAGTGCGAAGAAGTGTAGACACTGCCGTGCGCGGGGCTGGCTGCCAGGTGCCCCAGCTCGGGCCTGCACTGCCCCAGGCGCCCCGCCTCTCCGTGGAGGCCACCCTGGTGACCCGCACGCCACCTCCTGCACCCTGTCCCCAAATCGAACACAGCCCAGGGCCTAGATCCTTCCGTATCTACCTGCTGAGCCCTGGACGCTGGTCAGGGGGGCACCACGTCACACCCCAGCCAGAGAAAGTGAGCCCCCCCCCCCCGCCAGCAGGAGGAAGTCACCTTTAGACAGTGCTAAGCCCCATCTGTGTGGCCGACCAGCTGTGGGGCGAGGCGTGAGGTCCGAGGGCAGCGCTGTGAGCCGCTCCAGGCCACGGCCTCTCCTGGGGGCCTCACCGGGTCCTGAGCCGGGGCCTCTGGGGAAGGTGGTGAATGGCCACCCGCGCGCTGCCCTCGCCTCTGGGTCCACAGTGTCCCAAGGAGCCCAGGCCCGAGAGGTGCCTGCTGCTCCCCAGGCGGGGCCAGGCCCAGTGGATCCTGAGCAGTGAAGCAGGTGACACAATGACGTGGATAAGAATTAAGTAGATGAAAAATAGAGGATTTGTTCAAACACTGGCTACCAGTTGGACAGAAATGACTTTGCTCATGTGACCCCGCTGGCAAAGGACGAGTGTGGCTTTCTTGGCTGCCCCCCGTTTTGCTGGATTAATGTAAACTGCTTTGTTTGCAGGGTTTATTGTCATCCCAAAACCAGGCCAGCTCTCCAGGTGGAACTGTAGTATAGCGACCCACCACTGCTCGAGAACCCTCGGCCCGACGTGGTCCCGCGGGAGCGGCGGACGGACCCCGGAGCTGCACTTCAGCCCCGAGCACGGACACTCGCGGAGGCAGCGGTCACTGGAGTCACGTGGGAGGCCCCCGTGGGGCCCGCTCGCAAGGGCGCCCTCCGCCTTTCACCCAAAGAAGCTGTTCCCATTTTTAAATCATTCTTTTGGGGCTGCAGTAAAAAATAAGAAATGCGATTTTCTTGCTTTTTACTCAAAAGTTCAGTGTAATTAAAACCTTATATATATAAATATATACATATATACATAGTGTAAAATTATTTCCTGGACGAGAAATCCCCTTTAAGTTCAACTGTTATAAATAGTACTTCACTCTGTTTTTGCACTGATGTTTTTTACACGTAGGTGGTCAGAGAAAATCTGGAATGCACTTGTGAAGGAAGTTGTGGCTTTCTGACTTAAATCTGTCATTCCAGAAGATGGATGCTGCAATCATAGATTTTTACAAATTGTTTGCACTTAAAATAGTTTCATGCTATTAGGGACTTACTTTAAGTATGGGTCTCACGGACTAGCGACCCTCTGGGGTGTGAAGATGTTCTTTTTTAATCTTAACATTTATTTTAATACCATTGTTTCCAATGCAGTCAGCTCTGTATTATATGTATAAATGATGTGACTCTGCTACTGGGGGACGTGGTTACTTCACCAGTAATTTCCATCATTTATGAGTGATATTTCTAATTCACGAAAGAATATTAATATTAAAACTATCTTGATTATACCATTTGTTTATCTTCCATTAAGTTGGCTCAATTTTTAATGTAACTTCTTGTTCAATTAAAGTTTGGGATAAAATGATTCATCCTTTTTCCCACCCTCTTCCTGGAAGCCTAGGACAGGCTGCTCGAGAGCAGCTCTTCTGGAGGGTTCTGTGGCTCTTCGGGCCCTTCCGCCTTACCGCCTGTGGCCACCGTGGGCAGCTGCGCCTGTGCGGACAGGCCAGCGAACCGTTCTCTCCTTCCGGCTCTAAGTGCCTGAGCGCGTCCATTGTCGCTGAGAGCCCGTGACCACATGTGCCTCTGATGCGGATGGAATGCCGTGTTGGCTGCAGGACTGCCCGGCCCATGGGAGCATCTGGGATCGGTGTCTTCTGGGACTGGGTGTTTGCTTGAGACCAGCCCGGGGACAAGTCCGATCGGAGGTCACACCCGTAGCCACCCACTCGCAGACTCCACGACAGCGGGAACCCGATGCCGCATGGCTCCAAGCAGAACGTTCTCAGCTTTACAGAGTGGTACACAACTGCGCCCTTTGAAGACATTTTTATTTGGTGTGACCGTAAACCACAAAGTGTTGGAAAGACATTTCTCTAAAATCTGGGGCATGTCCACACGACTGAGATAGAAACGGAGTGCACGCCGTCCGAGAACTACACCGTGTTCGTGGTCTCCGTGCGTGCAGCCGGGGACGGCCAGCTTAGCCCAGGTCCCAGTTGCTGCTCAGAGAGAGGCCAGTGCAGCCCAGGGCCGAGCCACTGGGAGCTCCCGCTGCCTGCAGAGCCTCTGGGTCCCGGGGACACCAGGAAGTAGTAAGACACCCTGTCGTTTCAGTGAAAGAGTCAGAACTGATAGATCATAAACCTTCAAAATGACCTGCGTGTTAAAACTGCACATTCTAAATGTCATCCTGCTCCCAACGCTGGCTCCTGGGTGCTGCAATCACACAAGACCCCACCCACGCAGGCCCAGGGACACGCGAGGAGGCCCACGTACTGCTGCGGGCCAGCAAAGGCCGCCTTTGAAAATGAAGCCCAGAGTGCATCTTGTGATCCTGTGGTGCTGTCTCCTGTGAAGTGACAGGTAGAAATCTGGTCAGCACGAGGGCAACGTGTCACGTGTCAAATTCAGCCTCGGTTTGGTCAGATGACCTGGCCCATGCTCCCTGCTTCCACTGGCCCTGAGATTCACATCCAGGCTCGGTCCCCTGCTTGTCCCCTCCCGCAGGCTCTGGAGCACAGACCGTCGCTGACCGTCTCCGCTGAAGCTGCCAGACGTTTTGGTGTAGATTTGCTGTAGATGCATCTGTATAGGAACACGTCCATGGCTCTTGTACCTAAGACTGGTTCCTGGCCAAGTCGTCCAAGCTGGCTTCCAAAATCAGAGTGCCGTGTAACTGCCGCCACCCCCGCCACCACAGACACGCAGCATTCAGCAGGCCCTGGGCGGACGGCACCCAGGCCAGCCTCGAGGCCGGTCACGACCCTCGGGAGCCAGGGAAAGAGGTGGAAGTACGCTCAGCTCACCTGGTATGACTTGTGTTTGCTTTTATTCTTGCCCTGAGCTTTCTTACACCTTTGGAGCTGGTGCATGCATGCTCCACGTGTGGGGATGGGTCTAAGGGAAGCTAAGAGGAGACAGATGTTTCAGGGAGTGGAGTCAGCGAGGCTGCTGGCTGGCCACGTGGCCTGGCCAGAGGAAACAGCAGGCCCAGGAGCGTCCTCAGCACCTGGGGGGAGTGGAGGGGCGGGGGCAGCAGAGCCAGGTCTCTTGGGTGGCATTGCCTCTGCTTTTTCTGCTCCACAACTTTGCAGGGCTAAGGTGCTGTCAGACCTGGAACCCTTGGACCAGCGCACCAGGCCAAACCTCCACACTGGGGGCAGCCAGGCTGCATGTGCTCGTGCCTCCCTGCCTCGTGCCCTCTCAAGCTGAGACCAAGAAGACCTGGTGGGTGAAGAGCAGAGGTTGGGGCACCAGGCAGGTGCTGGGGAAACACTGTACAATGAGCCAACTTGACAGGGGGATGGAGGAGCATGGCTTCGGCTCTGCTTCCCTTCTGGAGCTTTTTGGCGACAAAAAGTGCTCAGGAATGGCGTTGCTTGCAAAGGCTCAGCTGGCCTTCACGTCCTCTTCACGTTGCCTTCACGTCCCCTTCACCACCCTTCCAGCCAGGAGTGAGCAGAGACTCCCCCAGGCTCTGGCGGCAGGCTGAGGCGGCCTCCCGTCCCCGTCGCAGGCCTAGACGCCAGGCAGAGAGCAAGCCAGAGCCATTCCAGCTGCCCGGGACTGGCTCCCATGCTGAGAGCCGGTGGGTGCAGGAAGCGTGAGCGTGGCCGGAGGATCACCCTGCTGCTCCACGGAAATGGGTGCGTGGGGCTGGAGCAGCCGAGCCTCGTGTGGCTGGGCCCTGGGCTGGCTGTGTCACAGCCCTTGGATCCCAGAGACCAACATGAAGCCAAAAGAGTTTCATTTGCTGCACAGGTCACACCTCAAAGGGCTTGGCCTGCCCCCAGAGGTCCCGTGGGGGAAGGGTAAGTTCGCTTTCTCACAGAGGTATGCAGGAGAACTTTAAAGATTTTCCGCTCAAATTTTATGCATATGAAGGGGGGAACAGTTTTCCTAAATACACAATTTCTTGTCAGTCCTTAAATGGGTCCTTAGAGCCAATCCTGGAGGACAGGTGCTCGCTCCCCCCGAGCTGCTGCGGCTCAGAGGCCTGGTTCCCTAGCAGCCTCTCCGCCTGGGCTCAGAGTGGGGGCTCACTGGCCGTACAGGGCTCCCTTCTATCCCAGGCACCCGCTCCTGTCTCCCCGGCCTTCCTGCTGCAGGGCCGCAGCCCCACCTGGCTCTGGCCTCCTCCCATGGGACCTGGAACTCCCAGATCCCCTGCAGAGGCTGAATGGCACACTGCCTGTCCCCCATGCCCCTTCCCCATCGGGGCATCCTGAAGGCCCCGCCAGCGTGTTAAACCGGTTCAGAGGAAGCTCTTTCCATCCCTTCCACAAGTGTGCACCCAGCTCTGAACATCCCCATAGCCTGGTGTCTGGTCTTGAATCTGCTCCCAGGTGGCAAGTGGGTAGAGGTTCTGGCCACCGGAAGACTGTCCTAGATTTGTCTTAAAAGAGGGAACAAGACGCCGAAGACTAACCCGGGAAATTTGCTTTTTCTAACCGTTGTAAGTTTATGAAGACGAGAAAAAGAAGGCGTCATCATGTTACATCCCAAGACAAAAGGGCTCAGGAGGGTCGTGCCCCCGCCCACAGGCAGCCCAGCACCACTGCTCCTCTGCGGCACCCCACCCCCCACCCCCACGGAGAAGCAGGTTCCCTTCTGTGTCCAACCTGCTGCCGGCACCCCGGAAGCCAAGCAAAGCACCATCGGAAGCAGCATCTCTACTCACAGGCAAGGCTGGGCCTCCAGAGCTAAGCGACGTGGCCTCGGCGAAGCCCGGCGCTCCGACTCGCCTCGCGCTTGGCAGCCTCGTCCGGCCGCAGCTCCCGGGGGCACCCGGGCCGAGCCTGTGCTGGGTCCTTACTGGCTTTCCATGTGCCACAAAATTAAGCTGTACCAAAGCCTTCCCAACAAAATAAATTCCCCAAATATGCTCACACAACCTAAAATAAAGAAATGGATGTCAAGACACGTGTTTAACTCAGAAAACATTAAACTATTGTTAACGACAGCTTATTCTTTAATAAACCTCCAAGAGCGTAATCTGTAAGCTGTAACGTGCCACGTGCCACGGCACTACCGGTGCTGGACTAAAGGCTCGACACGCAGAGCGCGTGGTGAAACCAAGCCTAAATCACACATCATGTCAACTCTGATTTCTGTTTGGATTTGGATTAAAAAATTACAAAATATTCTCTGTCCCAAAATCTTAGGTTACAAAAATGAAATTCAAAAACCCCAGAATGAGGTGGTTTTACGAATGTATTCGACTGGAACGTGCAGTACAGCTGCCCTCGGGGTGCAAAGAGCCACAGGCTGGGGGCTCCGGGCTGAGTGGGTACCGGCTGGCCTGTGGGGCAGCGGCCTCGGGGGACGGCGCCAGGCCTGTCCCCGGAGCCCTCCGTCCGAGGCGGGCGGCGTCACGGCCCGGCCCAGCTGCACCTGGTCGTGCTCGGCGCAGGTGAGCCCGCGCTGCTCAGTAGCCTCCGCCTTTCCTCTCTATCGTGGGCAGGTGGTACTGTTTGGGCTTAATGTCCTTCTGGGCGTCTGTCTGTCAAAGGAAACAGCAGGCGCTCAGCGGGGGCCGGGCGCGAGGGCGGGAGCTGCGGGGAGCTAGCGGACGGCTACCTTCTGGTTGGCGCCGACACACTTCAGGGGCCTCAGCACCGGGGCTTTCCTGTGGGCCCCGGGGCCCCACGCGGAGGGCAGCGCGGGGCTGGAGTACGAGGACAGCTTGGTCACTCCTGACAGCGTCAGTCTGGGCAGTTCCGTGGGGCAGGCCGGTCCGGGTCTCTTGGGATGGTCCTCTCCTGGCCTTAGGGACTGTTTCTTGGAACAAAACACAGGTCGGGTGAATGTACACGGTGTCCCCCTTTATGGAAATTAGGAAAAACAAGAGCGGTTCTTTTGCACGACTTTCACCTAATGTAACCTGACCAAGAGGTGTGACCATACGATGACCAGATGGTATCCCTGCCACCCCCGGGACGTGGCTGCTCAGAGTCCCCCGCGGAAGGCAAAGCCTCCACACTCAAGTCTCATGCGGAGTCGGCCCCGCAGGGCAGTGCCCGTGGCCTGGCCCGACGCCACGGAGGCCACTGAGACGTCCCAGCAGCGCGCCACAGGCCACAGCTGCCTGGTGCCCCTCTCCAACCCCGGACACCGGCCTTGCGTTAATGTGGCTGCTGAGCTAAGAATTTTTTTTTTTTTTTGAAGATTCTGTCTGTCTGTCTGTCTGTCTATCCATCTAGGAGAAGGGAAGGGAGAGACTGTCCCTGCTGAGTGGAGCGCCTGTTACAGGGCTCGATCCCACGAACCCGAGACGACAACCTGAGCTGAAACCAAGAGTTGGACACTCAACCCACCGAGCCACCCAGGCACTCCTGCATTTTTTAAGAGCTGAAAACAATTTCCTGGCATGTTAACAATTACGTGAAGTTCAAATCGCGGAGTCCCGTTTTCCCGAGGCAGAGCCCCACTGTTCATTTACGTATCCTCCACGGCACCAAAGAGGGCAGCTATGACGGGACTGTGGTCCACAAAGCTGGAAAGGCTTCCTGTGTGGCTTGTGCCCTACAGACGTGTGGGGACTGTGCTGGGTGCCGGCAAGAGTGACGGGGTCAGACGGCCGTCTCACCAGGAGGGAAGGGCCGAGCAGGGACAGCAGTGAGGAAGCAGAATGAGGGAGGCTCAGGTGGGGGGTGCTGTTGCACTGTTTGGGGCCTGAGCAGCTGAAAGGGAGCTGCTTCCACCCTCAAAGGGAAGGCGCAGGGAGAAAAGCACGTTTGGGGGGAAAGACCGGGAGATTGGGTCTGAAAAACCCAGCCTGTTAGACAGCCAAGTGGAACCTCAGGCAAGTGCTCAACACAGCAGACTGCAGTTCCAGAAAGCAGGCTGGCTGCAGATACAGCCGTGACCTCAGCTCCTAGCACGAACTGACACTCGGGAGACACTGGGCTGAGTGACGGAAGGGCACGGTCATCACACAGTGCGGTGCCAGCCCAGAATGTGGACTGGGGGGCTGAGCAGCGGGGACCACTTGGGGCGCCAAAGGATGACAACACTGCAAAAGGAAGCTGCTGTTCCTAAAGCAAACATCTGTACCCAGGAGAGTGCTCATTTGGGGCCCTCTGCACGTGTGGGGGCATGTGGGCCTGTCACCGGGTCACCCGGGCCAGTGTCATCCTCTCTGGCCCCCTGTGAGGGTCAGCCAGAGGGCACAGGCAGGTGACAGCTGTGAAGCACTTTGCCAGAGAACCTGGCACCTGCCACCCTGCCTCTCCTCGCCTGGCCTGTGCACACGGGACGCTGCCGTCCCCCAGCTTGTGGGACAGAAGGGGCAGGAGCGGTGGGGGCCGCACTCCCCACGTCCCGGCACAGACGCCATGGGCACAGGTCGGGCCTCATGCTGGGCGCCCCCTGGCCTGCCACGGGGCGTCCTCCGCAGACACACAGGCCACCAGGGGGTCCGGTGCTCGCCGCTCACTGACTTCGCTCGGTACCTGCTTTCTGTCCTTTGAAATTTGCCAGCCGTTCCTGAGTAGTTCCGGTGCCACGGGGCACTCTGGAAAGAAAGCTTTTCTGTGGCTGGCCACAGCCTGCTTCTCCGCTGCCCTACAGGGAAGGGAGAGAGAGGGTGCGCTCCCCTGAGAACGGGCCCGGCGCCGGGCATGCACCTTCTCCCTGTCCCCAAACTGCTCTATTCTTTCCCACGTGAGCTGTGACGAGGAGCCTGTCTTCCCTCCTCTGCCTCAGCCCCCGGAGACGGCCCCGCAAGCTGGGGACACGGCCCTGCCAGAGGCCCGCAGCCCCCGCCCATGGAGGCTGGGTCACACGTCACCCTCACGCATCCCCCCCATGCTCAGGCTGCAGTAGGGCACAGAGATGTGGCCTGAGACGCCCTCGGGCAGCTCCTCCCACCCCAGGTACCACGCAGTGAGCTCTCAAACCTCACACCGAGGGGACTTTGCTGTCACTGGTGGGCACCAGGCTCCTCCTGGAATCTTAACCACTGGAGCCTTAGCACCAACCTCCAGCAGCCACTGAGCCCTCATGCCTGGCCGCAGACCACTAATTGCCTCCTTTTGGGGGGCTACACCAGAAAAGGGAGGGGTACGTCCTGGGGGCACCCAAGTTCAAGACAGAGCTGGTCCTGGACCTGCTGCCTCAGCGCACCCCGCCAGGGGCAGCCCCAGCCCCACTCGGGTGCCCACCTCTGCTCGTGGAAGTAGGGATGCTGCAGGGCCTGGTGGGCGGTGATTCTCTCATCAGGATCATAGGCCACCATGGCGTGCAGGAGGGAGAGGCATTGCGAGGACCAGCTGGCTGTCAGTAGAGGTATTCCTGATCCCTTTTTAAAAGGAAAATCAAAACTCATAGCTCTCGACCTGTATTAAAAGCCCAATGATAATAAATGATCATGCCATTATTTAGAGCACTTGGCCATCATGATTCTACAGGGGCCTGTACTGGTGACTGCAGTTTACGCTCTAAGGAGGGGTGTGACCATGCAGTTGTCCAAACCCAGAGAATGTACAGCAGCAGCAGAGGAATCCCGCGGGCAGACTGGGGACTTGGGGCGGGGATGATGTGTCAGCTGGGGTCCTGGGTGGTGACCGACGTGCCATCCTGGCGTGGAGGGCCACGGTGGGGGAGGCCGTGTGTGCCCCATGCCCCCAGGTGGTCTACGGGAAATCTGTGGACCTTCCATTAAGTTTTGCTCTGAACCTAAAACTGCTCTAAAAAATAAAACTCTATTTTTTATTTTATTTTTTAAAAGATCTCTTTATTTATTCATTCATTCATTCATTCATTCGAGACAGAGAGAGAGGCAGAGACACAGGCAAAGGCTCCCTGTGGGGATCCCAAAGCAGGACTCAATCCCAGGACCCCAGGATCACGACCTGAGCCAAAGGCAGACACTCCAGCATGGAGCCACCCAGGTGCCCCCAAAAAGTCTATGTGTTGAAATGAGGCAGGCGTTGTGAAATCTGTTGTGCTATCAATGTAGGAAAATGACTTTTCCCCAAGAAGACTAATAGCACATTCTTACCTGAGAAGAAAAAGACAAAGCTTAGGGATCCCTGGGTGGCGCAGCGGTTTGGTGCCTGCCTTTGGCCCGGGGCGCGATCCTGGAGACCCGGGATCGAATCCCACATCGGGCTCCCGGTGCATGGAGCCTGCTTCTCCCTCTGCCTGTGTCTCTGCCTCTCTCTCTCTCTCACTGTGTGCCTATCATAAATAAATAAAAATTAAAAAAAAAAAAAGACAAAGCTTAAAAGTAGAAAAAGAAAGAATCCAGAATAGTTGTCTTTCCCTGTCTCCTGAGGGCCCGGAGATGCCCACCCCGTAGAAGCCCCCAGCAACCCAGATTCAGCTGCATCGCTGACCAAATCAAACCCTACCCAGTCCTGGTCTAGGTATCAGTGTTGCTGGCAATGCTGGGTGACGTCACACAGTCCTCCCCACGCACAGCCTATGTGTGGGAACCTTCTCTGCCCACAGGTCTCTCAGTCCTGGGTAAGTATTCAGAGGACAAAACCTGACTGGCAGGCCCTGAGCAAGACCACCAGAACTCTTCTGTGGTGCCTGAGGGAGAGCGGCCCTGGCAAGACTCCTGGGGCGACAGCCCCGAGCAGCTGCTACGCTGGCACCCCCACCAACCTGCAGCCCCCTCAGCAGCAGCAGGGACCCAAGCAAACGGAGGACCTACAAGAGCAAGAGAGGCGCAGCCTGGTCCACTCGGCTGGCTCCCACCACCAGCCCGGGCAGGGGGCACGTTCACACGGACTGTCGGGTGCACACCACACTTACTGTTTGAACTTGGTGAGGGTCTTCTCGGCAGGTGTGCCAATGACATCGTGGATTTTTGAGATCTGGTCCAGCTCATTGGCTCCGGGGAAGAGGGGCTGCAAACTGGAAGAGCAGGACGGGGCTGTGGTTAGGACAGGCCGTGGCCTCTTCATCCCAGGACCCCCCCTTTGTGAGGCAGCTAGCTCACATAGGAACCCGAGGACACAACCCCATCTGCGGGGTACTCCTTGCAGCTACAAGGTTTCCGTTCCCCCTTCACCTCAGGCCCGTTCCTCCTTTCCTGACAGGTAGGTGTCACTCTAAGAGATGGCTCCGTTCTCTCTGTACACCCTGGGATCTCTGCAGTGCCACGTGACATTCACGCTGTGACACACAACCTCCACAAGTCTCCTGTCACAGGAGAGGTTTTTCAACAGATATTCAGGAGGGTCAAGTCTGGTTTTGCTGACAAATGAAGTCCAAGGAATGTTTTGGTTTTTGGAGCTTTAATGGATTTTGGAATCGTGGGTAAAAGATTTCAGGCCGATATAAATAAATTCAGTTTGCATGCCATGCCACAAAGCAGCGTTTGGACCTGCAGTTCTGCACAGGAAAGCCACCGTGTCCGTGGCTACAGGACAGAGGAGGAAAGCCCAGGCAGGCCAGGTGTATGTGGACCCCCGCAGGCTGGCCTGCACCCCCGTCATCAGGTTCTCAACAACAAAGTCCTTTCCCACCCTCAGGGATTTCAGCACATCAGAAAGGACTGTCTGTCGGTACTTTAACCATCAATGAAACTGCCACTCGGCTTTCCAGATTTAACATGTCAAACACCAATTTAAAAAAAAAAAAAAAAAACGGGATCCCTGGGTGGCGCAGCGGTTTAGCGCCTGCCTTTGGCTCAGGGCGCGATCCTGGAGACGCGGGATCGAATCCCACGTCGGGCTCCCGGTGCATGGAGCCTGCTTCTCCCTCTGCCTATGTCTCTGCCTCTCTCTCTCTGTGTGTGCCTATCATAAATTAAATAAAATAAAAATTATTAAAAAAAAAAAACCCACCCAGGTGGAAATTTAAAAAAAAAATGTCGAACACCTGTTCCAAATATCAACAGGTGTGTCCTGAAGGACATGCATGTCTGTGTTTATAAAGTGGTCAGTTGAGCTGGCGAAAGCAAATGACCCAGGTCCCCACCTATGAGGCATGGCGCCCAGACATTAAATTCACCTGCTCATCCTTAACAATCCACTCCAAGCAGGTGAGTGCCGGCCCTCCCCCTCCGCAGGCCTCTTCAATCCCATGTCCTACTCACCCCTGAGCGAGATAAGCCCACTTCCCTCCTCCTGGGCCACTGCTCCATCGGCAGTGAAGCACAAAGGCTGGAGGGGGGGGGTATGGAGGCCAGGGAGGATGGTTATGACTGGGGTTTTCTAGAATCCAGCTGTGCCACAGGTGACCCATCCTCACCCTTGTGGCCAGAGCATCCTACCTGACAGACCATCTCCCTTAGGGTAGGTCCCAGGAGCAGGGGCAAGGCTCACATATCCCCAGGGCACGCCCCCACACGGTGGCAGTAAGCATGTTTTTACTCTATCCCTGAACTCGCTAATCAATCATTCACAGATGAAGCCTAATGGGGAGGCCCACCCACCTAGGGCCAAGTTATGCCGGTAGGAGGAAAGTAACTGATATTCTTCGTACTTTATGACAAATAAACAAGGAAAAGCATTTGGCCAAAAGTAAAATGAAAGCCTGGGACATTTTCTGTGAAGTTAAACAGTCACATCATCAGATGACAGCAAAGTCTGTTTGGTAAAGGAAGGGATGGCATAAAGCCACTCGGTCGGCTGAGCCTCACTATGTGACTCACTTCAGGACATTTACACAGAGGTCCCCTGGCACTGAGTGGGAGTCCTCAGACAAGAAGTGTGCCCAGCTCTACCTGGTGATCTCGTAGAACACACAGCCAGCGCTCCACAGGTCCATTTTGTAGGTGTAGAACCCGTCAGTGAGGAGACACTCTGGGGCACGGTACCAGCGGGTGGAAATATACTCTGTGTATGGCTGCTTGGAATAGACGCTCCGGCAGGATCCAAAGTCCCCTAGTTTCAGGACATCCTGCTGCAAGGGGAGAAAAGCAAGGATAAGTAACATCTCATCAAGCAGCTGTTACAATACAGACTGCTTTAAATATTTATCCACTAATGGGAAAGTTACTGGCATTGAAACTAGCTTATAAAATACAAATTACTTCATAAGCACCCGAACGTGCCTCTAACAGATAAGCAAGTAGTGTTTCTACTCAATGAGATACGTTTACAAATGTTCTGGTTATGTTTTACAAATATTTCCAAATGCCTACAGGTTTGGGAAAATTGTAAGTCACAGCATGAGTCTACAAATGAAACAAATACCATAGTGGTTCATTTGTCCTATTGTGTCTCTAACTTCCCAGTTGTCCAGCTCCACTGGCAGCTTTGTTCTCCACTGGGAAGGGGGGGTGCTAGGGAGCTTGGCAGCTCTCCGGAGCCACGGGCTCTTTGGAGCAATTCAGACAGACCAGGGAGACATGTTTCGGGATATAACTTCCATTTTGCTTACCCCTCAACATTCAGATAAGAACGTACAGGCTGTCAATGAATTTGGAGCAAACGTTAAACACAACATGTTTCCCAGCCAGGTTATTAAGAAACGTCATTCCAAAGGCCTTTCACCTGATCCCATTACCCAGTGCATCATGTTGGACCTCCAAAAAAATTGTAAGGCATGTTAAAAGAAAAGCAGAAACAGTCTGCAGAGACAAAGCAAGCATCAGAACCAGTTCCGGATGTGGCACGGATTTAAGAATTTTGGAATTACCAGTCAGAAAACTTAAAATCACTATGAGTGATTTGTTAAGGGCTCCAGTGGAAAAAGCAGATGATGGGAAATGTACGCAGAAAGATGGAAACTCTAAGAAAGAATCAAAAGGAAGCACTAGAAATAAAAACACTAACAGAAATAAAAAATGACTTTGATAAGCTCAGCCAGACTAAACAGCCAAGGAAAGAATCAGTGAGCTGGAAGATGCACCAAGAGAAACTTCCAAACTGAAATGCAGAGAGAACAAATCATGGCAGAAACAGAACAGCCAAGAACTGTGGGACCTCAAACGGTGTGACACACCCTACTGCGTGGATAAACAGCAGAGTGCTGACACAGAGGGAAAAATCCAGACTAAGAAAGAGCACATACTAGAGGATGCCATTTAGAGAACATTCCAGAAAACGCAAGCTAATGTATAATGACAAAGTCAGTCTTTGCCTTGGGGACAACAGAAAGGAGGGATGATGAGGGAGCAGGGGGAAACTTCCAGGGGCAAAAGGTTTGTTTGCTTAGCTGTGATGATGGCTTCATGGGTGTTATACACACCCAAATTTAGTAAGTTGTACACTTTAAGTATGTACAGTTGACGTGGCTACGGACTAGGACAGACCTGAGTGCAAATCCTGCCTCTTCCACTTTCACATACACAGGGTTTGGAGTGATAATCTGAATGGAGTTTACTGATCTCTTCTTTTTTTTTTTTTTAAAGTAGCGTCTATACCCAACATGGGGCTCAAATTCATGACCCTGAGGTCAAGAGTTGCTTGCTCCACCAACTGAGCCAGCCTGCAGTTTATTCTTGCCCCTGCAGTTTATATTTGCATATTGTAAGAGAAGAGTGCCTTATTTCCTTCCAGAGATATAGCTACGTTCACAGCACTTATTAAATAAACTACTTTTTCCAAACTGGGAGAAAAACAAGAGCATAACAAACATGGTACCCAACTATCTGGGACTGAAAATCTATCTAGTAAAAAGGTTTCCCATTCCACCTTTCTTCTGAAGCATTTTTTAATACAGAAGTTCTTACCTTTATTAATATATTTTCTGGCTTTACATCTCTGTGAAATATTCCATTTCTGCATTCAATAAAAAAGGAAGGGTAGAATTAATTTATGCCTCATCAAATTCTTTCACATTTTATTTTTAATGAATGTTAATACATTTTATTAATTTGAGAGCCACCAAGTCCCCAAGAGCATACCTGTGCATATGATCAAGGGATTTACATAACTGGTACATATAGTGCATAATTTTTTTTTCTGATAATGGGTGTCTTCTCCCTGTGAGATCAAGGAAATAGCCAAATATGGTTAGCAACGATACATATTTTGTGTTTTGAAAACAAAAATAGAATCCAAAAATGTATTTAATGATGTGTGAAAATCTAAAAATAACCTTTAGTAATTTCAGGAAATACGGAGGAGTGTACATACTAAATACACCATTTAAAATTTTACATACTGGTATGATTTCATGTAAAATCCCCTGTGCACATGTTCTGATCACCCCAAGAGTAGTACCGACAAATATGTGCAGAGTAGTTTGGTCTGATAAACCCCATGTGAGGCCCCCAGCCCCTGGGGCAGGCCTTCCAGGCTACACTCTTCCAAAAGGTTTGGTATGAAGTGTCAAGAGTCACTTGAAAATCCAGGGTTTTCCTCAGCTTCCAGTCTGGATTTTTTTTTTTAAGGTTTTATTTATTATTTATTTGAGAGAGAGCATGCTTGAGTGCAAGGTGGGAGGAGGGACAGGAACAAGCACTGAGCAGGGGGCCGGGCCCCATCTCACAACGCTGAGATCATTACCTGGGTCAAAACCAAGAGTCAGATGCTTAACCAACTGAGCCACTCAAGCACCCCTGGAGATTTCCATTTTAAAGGGGGGTTTAAAAGTTCCACAGAAGTGTGTTTTTAATCAAAGACCCATGATCACTTTGAATTTCACAGCCTGCTCTCCTGATGGGAAGCAGCCATCGTTTGGCTCTGTCGCTCGCACAGCTGCTCACCAGGCCTGCCTGCCTGCAGGTTGTTACGTCCTACAACTCCTAATGCCACAATCCAGCATTACGGTTACCCTCGTTTCAGATGTCACATCTTGCTTGATTTTAATTTCAAAGGTGTGAGTTTTTAAACCACCTTCCCCAGTGTGAGCACATATCTTGGGTGACATGTTTGTTCCTAAGTTTGCGATTTCTGTTGACAAATACGTTTATTCTTTTTCTCTCACACTAGACAAGAATGTTTTCTGTTAATAGAAATTCGAATCACAAAATGTCGAAGTACAATTAACTTTTTCTTAATACTGTAATCTTTTTATTCTGTTTGAAATAATTTATTACCCACTTTCTAGAATTTAAAAGAATTTAAATGAAGACTTAGTCATCTTTCCCTACTTTGAATAATTCTGTACTTTAAATTCCTATCTGTATAAAGATGAAAAACAAAATTTCTATTCTCCATCATATGTACTTTTTTTTAAGATTTTATTTATGTATTCATGAGAGAGAGAGAGAGAGAGAGAGAGAGAGAGAGAGAGAGAGAGAGAGAGGCAGAGACACAGGCAGAGGGAGAAGCAGGCTCCATGCAGGAAGCCCGATGTGGGACTCGATCCTGGGTCTCCAGGATCACGCCCTGGGCTGAAGGCAGCACGAAACCGCTAAGCCACTGGGGCTGCCCTCATATGTGCTTCTGAATGAAGCTTCCGGAGATCTGGTTCTCATCCTGTGACAAGGGCCTCACTGCCCACTGAATTACCCGGCACTCAGGACCCCCTTCCATCTCAACCAGGCTCTCAGGGTCCAGGAGCACCTGACTCTCCTGGGGGCCTGTGAAGACACAGGATGCTCCCCCACACCCCTAGGCATTTGTGGTTCAGCAGGTCTGCTGTGGGGCCTCAAAAGCTGCCTTATGCACTAATTCCCAGATGCAGCTGCCAGGCCTGGACCCTCACTTTGAGAACCACGCCCACCACATCCTTCTGTTTACTGAATGCTCCAGCCAAATTCACCTGTAGATGCTTATGGACATGCCTCCAAAGCTCTCCTGCTTCATACCTGTGCTCATGCTGTTCTGTTGCTAGGAGCACCCTTCCCAGCCATGCCTACACACCCAGATCTTACAGTACAGTCTTGTCAGGACAGTCACCCGAACTTTCACTCAAGGAGATGGGGTCTTTTAGGGAAAGTCTAACCCACCCAATCTTCATAATCAGCTTGGGATGCTCTAAAATAGTGATTCCTGGGAAGCCTCGGTGGCTCAGCGGGGGAGCATGTGCCTTTGGCTCAGGGTGTGATCCCAGGGTTCTGGGATCGAGTCCTGCATTTGGCTCCCCACAGGGAACCTGTTTCTCCCTCTGCCTGAGTCTCTGCCTCTCTTGTGTCTCTCATTAATAAATAAAATCTTAAAAAATAAAAAGGCCATAATAAAAAGTAAAAAAATAATAATAATTGTGATTCCCATAGGGCGCCTGTGGGGGGAGGGGTTCAGTCAGTTCAACCTCTGACTCTTGAATTCAGCTCAGGCCATGATCTCAGGGTTGTCCCTTTTCCTTTGTTCCTACCCCCACCCATGTGTGTGCTCACACATTTTCTCTCTCTCTCTCTCAAATAAATCTTTTTTTTAAAGATTTATTTATTTATTCATGAGAGACAGAGAGAGAGAGAGAGAGAGAGAGAGAAGCAGAGACATAGGCAGAGGGAGAAGCAGGCTCCCTGCAGGGAGCCCAGCGTGGGACTTGATTCAGGGACTCCAGGATCACAGCCCAAGCCAAAGGCAACACTCAACCACTGAGCCACCCAGGCATCCCAATAAAATCTTTTATTTTATTTTATTTTATTTTATTTTATTTTATTTTATTTTTTTAATTTTTTTTATTTATTTATGATAGTCACAGAGAGAGGGGGGGTGCAGAGACATAGGCAGAGGGAAAAGCAGGCTCCATGCACCGGGAGCCCGACGTGGGATTCGATCCTGGGTCTCCAGGATCGCGCCCTGGGCCAAAGGCAGGCGCTAAACCGCTGTGCCACCCAGGGATCCCCCAATAAAATCTTTTTAAAGAGAAAAAGAAAATGGTGATTCCTAGCTCTAAATCCAGACCTAATGAATCACAAAACCAAACATAGGGGCCAGGAATCTGCATTTCTCGGCTGCCCTCTGTCCCCAGCATAAGAGCCCTCTTTGGGTGCTGACCCTTCCTTTCTTCTTTGTTCCCCTCTACCACCCACTAGCCCTGCAGGTAAGGTAACGGCTCCTCCCACCCCCGTGCCCCTCCATGAGAACCCCTGCCTACAGAGGGAGCCCCTGAGGGAGTAGGGTGCAGTGTGAACCGTGCAGGACTGTGGTCTGAACAATCCGAGTCCACACTCTTGACCAAGAGGGGGTTGGCTATCCATTCTCTACAATGGTCTTTCAAAAACAAGACCCTAACTTTCCAGGCCCGAGACTATCTGGTTCCTAACAGATGCATGTTTTCAAACATCTTGAAACAAATGGAGACAGAATTAAGAAACCACCCGTAAGCTCCTTTGTGAGCCTAAATGCCAACAGACCATGAACAGCCCTTCCTGGTCTCTTGTAGCAATCCTGATCAAGTTAATTTCTGCAAGCTAATTGTTTTAACCAAATATCCTCATTAAGAAGATTCTAAAGAAAAATGAAATACTTTTCATTTTTGGGAATGGGAAATATCAGAAAGGGAGACAGAACATGAGAGACTCCTAACTCTGGGAAACGAACTAGGGGAGGTGGAAGGGGAGGTGGGCGGGGGGTGGGGGTCACTGGGTGACGGGCACTGAGGGGGGCACTTGATGGGATGAGCACTGGGTGTTACTCTATATGTTGGCAAATTGAACACCAATAAAAAATAAATTAAAAAAAAAGAAAATTCTAAAGAACATCATATACGGGGATCCCTGGGTGGCTCAGCAGTTTGGCGCCTGCCTTCGGCCCGGGGCATGATCCTGGAGTCCCAGGATCAAGTCCCGTGTCCAGCTCCCTGCATGGAGTCTGCCTCTGCCTGTGTCTCTGCCTCTCTCTCTCTCTCTCTCTCTGTATCCCTAATAAATAAATAAAATCTTAAAAAATAGAACATATACAATATCAATAATGTAAAAAACGTTTATAGGAACACAATGATAAACCGTGGCATTTGTTGCTGGTGCTAACTGAAGGAGCGTGGAGTCTGCAGTGTAACAGAATTTCTGGCACACACCCCTTCCAACAAGAGACCCCACTGACAGGCCTGTGCCCAGCTCTCCCAGTTAGGCTTGGAACCCATACTGGGGTCCACCATGGCACAGGCAAATGGTCTACCATATACACCTCGGTCCAGAGGCTGTGCCTGTGGCACCAGGCACGTACACACCTGCCACAGCATCTTCCAAAGGAGAAGTTTGCATTATGACACATGGATCTGAAGTTAGAGACCCTGACCTGCAGGGGATAGCAGGCGGGATGTCAGCCTCAAGTGGAGCCTGAACAATCTCCCACCCCCCTCCCTTATCAACCATGGCAAAACTCGAGGACAGGTCCTCCAGTTCTGCTCTATGAAGCCAGCTCATCTTCAGCAAATGCCAGACCTTCTGTGAAATTCCACTTCCTCACGTCCACAACGGAGGCGAGCACACAGGATGGGGAAGACCAGACGCAGCCATGCAGAGCGAGCACACCAAGCAGTGTTAACATGATATTAATGATGACAGTGATCAGTGTTTACTGCAGACTGTGCAAGTGGCCACTGCTCTAAACATGACACAGATTTTATTTTCTCCTCACAATCATCCGAAGAGTTAGAAACTAGGATCACTCTCATGTCACAGACAAGGAGCAAGGCTCAGGGGCCTGACCCAGACCTACCATCATTAAACACGCAGGACAGGGGAGATATGTGCTGCACCCACACAGCCAGACTGGAGCCACACTTCCCAGAAGCAACACCTCAGAACTAACAGGATGGTGGCATGGGCTACGAAGAAAATTCCAGCAACAAAAATGTTATATCCCTCACACCTTGTCTGAATGGGACAGAGACCTATCATGTAAGGAAAACAAGACATCGATCACTGTCAAAATGTTTCCAGGAAGTGCTAGGAATGCCAAAATACATTTTATTTCACTTCCACTTTCCTTTTATATACACACGAAAGTGATCTGGGGCTGGGGAGGGGGGCTGTCTAAATGGATCCAAAGAGCTCTTCTAGTAAGGATAGAAGTAAAATTGCTAAGTAGATAAGAAAGCTATGTGTCACAGCCGACTGGCAACATTTCCTCTTTTGTTAGTACAT